TTTAACTGTAAGAATAACCAGATCGATTAACGTATTTTTGTCGAGAATGCTCTACTAGTTTCATAATCATCCGGGTCTTTATTTGTTTGTTTATGAGATGGTTAACATTTGTGGAAGCATTTGTCGACTAAACAGTCATCGAATCAGTTTCAACAACACAACGGTAACCCCTTATTGTTGTGGTAAATGTAACTTTCGACAAACCTTCATTTTGTTGATCATATTTGAATCCAAAATTAAGAACACCGTTTTATGAAAGTACATACAATCGGAGGGAAGAGTTAGTTATTGTAATCGGCTCCACTAGTCAAGTGTCAAACGAATCTATCAATAGAATTGTTTCGATTAGCGTTTGCATAGGAAAGAACAAGACACCGGACGTTGCCGTCTCATTTTATCTTAAAGATTTTCTAACTAAGAAACTGTCAAAATAATACTTATCGTATTGTTTTGACAGTTTCTTTGCCACTTGTCTAGTGATGTAAGGGAGGGGAAGTAAAATTTACTGATTACTTTCAAATAAGCTGCCACATTTCATTAGTATACTAATGCAACTAGAACGCTCCCTTACCGCTTCCATTCATAGCCCTCGGGACGCAATCACTAATCCTCACGACCACATACAATAAATCACTGGAAGACCGCCACGCGATTATTTAGATATATAGAGAATAGCTTAGTTAGCTTAATCAAAGTATAATTATCTCTAAAATATTATATTGTACATTTGTTACATTAATAAGCAATTTTAAAATGTAGGAGATTCTCAATTCCATTGTTATCTTCTAAGATTTTTTCGCTATTGTATAATATATTCTGAACTGATTTAAATAATTTTGTACATCGTATCAATATCATCTCTCTGATTTCTTTATATAAATCAAAATTAAAAATTATTTTGTTATTAACTTAAATTATCAAAATTAGAAAAATAATAGTTAATACATATATGGGAGTATGTACCTATGGTTTAAGAATATAACCAAAGTAAAGCTATAATTCTAGAATGATATTAAATCTCCCACGCACTTGATACATATTATTGCTTGTTTTCCAGTAAGTTGTTCTTATTTCGTTATTCATTCTAATGCTTGTTTGTGATAACGCTGCCATCTCAGATCGATTGTAGTAGTGGAACTACGTCAAAGGATTGGCTGAGAGCCAGAGGGTATTTAGTACCCACCTACCTAAGTGCTGTTTACTTTGGGTCCTTTCACAAGATTCACCTTTATACATTCACATTTTATAAGAATATTTTTTAAAAACTACTATTTGTTCCCTATATGTACTACAATATTCATGAAAACGTTGGCTATTCTACAGAAATACACTAAACACTTCATCCAAGAAATATAAAAATATAAATTTACGGCGTTAGTGTGTCTTTCAATAATTCTCTTACTGTTAGTATGGATTTAATTTCAATAGTTTGAGAGGAAGATCCACTATTAGTAATAGCATAGAGGTCACTACGTAAACAGTAATTCTCTTTATTATAATTTTATTTTTGTTATTATATTATAATTTTTTTGTAAGATCTTTATTTATAAGTTCTTCACAAATATGAATGATGCTTAAAAATATATCACATATATTATTTATTACTAATAATGGAACTGAACAAGAATATTTTCGCAAATTTTAATTGAACTTAATACACAATACTGTTACATAGTTATTTTATAATCTTAAAATAAATTAATTTTCTAGTTATTTAGTAAAATAAAAAAATATATAAATTTATTTTAAAATGGTAAATTCTTTGTCTCGTTTCCATGGAAGTTACGGAAAATTTCTTCTTAATCCCCACTTACGTTACCTTTTTATATTGGTAAGTCTCCATGTAAAATTTCCAGATTATATTTTCGTAAAGATGAAATCCAATTAACGTTAATCTCTACGTAACTTTATCCACTTTAAAAGTCAAGCTTAATAACAATATTCGCTTAATCAATGTTAATAAAAAATGTACCGGTTATCAAATTGGACTAAATAATAATATCTACTTGATAATAAAATATTTTTAATAGTGAAGATATAAGTACTCAAATTCGCAATTTAATAAAATAAAATATAAATAATAAGAGTATATAACATAATATTACAAAATGATGTGCAGTACTTACTTCATAAATACCCAGGGGTAAATTGACTAGACTAGACTTTCCATTTCTCTATTACTCGTGGACTTGATTGTGATTTCACCTAGTACATTTGTCTGTTTACTGTTTAGAAAATTTTATTCAATTTTATAGCTTAACATACTTCTTCCAAAAATATGTAGTTCGTAAAATTATTTGATATAAATTTGTTTTATTGATATATTACTCATTTTATATTATGTTTAATATCTCGTCAGTCAGAACTAACCTACTTCAGTACGCTTATTTAACTCCTGTAACATTAAATTATATTATAAGCATCATTGATGTTTTTAGTATGAGCCTGCCAAAGATATTAGAAGCGGCTGAGAAATATCTGGAGTCGGGTTAAATACCATTAATATAATTTTGTATGTAAGCAGGTTACAAAATTGCTTTGGTTTTTACTTTTATAATGTTATAATTATTTTAATGGATAAATAAATATACATATACACACACATATATATATATATATATATATATATATATATATATATATATATATATATATGTATATAGTAGTGAGTGGGCAGTGGTAGTGCTAAACAGAGGTTAAAATAAATATTTACATAAATATGCAAGTTTTTAAATATTAAGATTGATATAAGCAAATATGCTTAAAAATTTAAAACAAAATACCTTTAGGCTTACAAGCTAGCAATTTCTTTAACCTTTGTTGGTGACTAAAGGAAAGATCAGATAAGTTAACGTCTGTAGGAATACAGAATGAGGTACTTACACGTACTTAAAATTTAGGCGACAGTAAAAACGTTAAAACAAATGTCAACGGCCTTTAATGGGTTTCAGTCCCAAGGGCACCCGCGATGGTGCCTGATAATGAGAGATGTGGTGCATCACTACCACCCAAGATCATAACTTACACATACTTAAAAATATTTATGTTTCTGTATTAGGCATCACTTACTGAGGCTGCCCACGTACGTCTACTGATGGATTCGTGCGTTTACATTCGAATACTAGCATATTATCTTGTTAGGACGAAAAATGCGGTCGATTGCGGATAAAGGTTTGCACATTTGTTCTTGTCCATTCGTGGTGTTCATCATATTATCATCATATTCACCATTAACTGTCCACTGCTGAACACAGGCCTCCCCTATAAGGTGGAGATTTCCAGTACTTATCACGCTTGGCCGGAGGGTTGGCAGCCTAAGTTAGGTTTGGTATTATACTATTTTAAGAGGGACGCTGCTGCCCACCCCTCGACCATTATTTCCCTTAGTCGCCTCTTAAGGAACTCACAAAAAAGGGAAGGATAACCAATTTTAAGTTGGGACCACACAGCAATTCGTGTTGTTTGCTGTAAATTGTCCAATAGTAGGCAAGACAAAAAGATGAAAAATAATGTAATCCTATAAAAGATTCAGGTTCTAGTTTTATCGGGAGCTTTTCTATAAACGTGCCTTTACCACTGAAAGTACATATATGATTAATTTTAATAATTTTGAAATATCTTTGTATGTAATATTAAATATTGTATATTAAATTCTGCATTAAAATTTATAAATATTTTAAAATATCGTTCATTTTTAATGGAAATATAAAATTAGACGCGCCTCTTCGTAGAATATTTTAATATTCAAGTTCAATATTTTCTTGTTCCTCCGCCAAATCTTTATAGAATGAATTTCCTCAAGCTCGGCATCGAGTCGTCTGTTATCACGGTTCGTTACATATAAAATTTATATATATATTTATATATATATATATATATATATATATATATATATATATATATATATATATATATATATTACCTATAAAATGAATACATACGTGTATTACAATTGTTTTAACCATTAATGCGTTAAGAAGTTAGACACATGAAATGCAGTAATAATATTTTCTGTAGATAATTAATATATTATATTATTCAATTTTTTTATATATGCTATTTACTTGTAATAAATAGTTACTGCCGTATAAAAAAAATAATTTCTGATTCTGTAACTAATACGCATACAATACTTAGATGATATAGAAAGTTTATGAGTAAGTTTAAGACAAGAATAACTGCGTTTTCTTGGGATAAAATAAAAGAAACCCCAAAAAGAGATATGGTTAAGACGAAATATTGTGAGGATTGCGGTAGTCTCTCCCAATAACTCGTTGCTAAAAGAGTCACGTTGCTCGTGGTCCCAAGAGTAATCCATTTTTTATTTCACAGTATATAAATAAAAACATATCCATGTGGGGGTGTGTGTTTAATATACAGTATATATATATTTGTATATATATCTTTGTTGGTTTAGTTTGGCGAAAAAACTACATGAAATGTGCAAACTTCTTTTATTTCTAATAAACAAGTTCTTAAATAGTCAACAGTAAATGCGAGCAAAACTTTCCATATATCATAATTACTTTATTATTAAAAGTTTCTACCTTTAGAACTTATACAACTCTTTATAATGATGTAATGATGGAGTGACTTTAATACAGTTTTTTATACTAGATATTAAACGAGAAATAGATACACAACAGTGCATGGCATTGTTTCACTCAGGCGAGACATTAAATATTTTAATTACCTAGTAGTAGACTACTTACTTATGAGAGTATGGTTTATAGCACATTATGTTATCAAATTTTTCATCTATTACACATTGTTACATACAAAAGTTTCTGACGTGGCTTATCAGATGATGATTCTACGTTCCCTCCGAAATACGATGCAAGTGACAATTTTTTTAATAGATTAAAAAAATTTTTGTTATTGTCTAATTTCGTATTTCTTCTAACAGGTAGCTTCGGTTCCCCACCGGTTTTGATTGTTATAACACATTATAACATACACATTACACAACAGTTATTGAATTCTACAACACTTGCGAGTAATTTTTCGAAGGTAAGTTTTGTTCTAAAATTTTTATATCTTAATTTTACTTTTACTTCTATTGCTATTGCTTAGTAGTTTGTACTTACACTAATTCATAATTTTGGACAAAGTAATAGCTGTGTTTCTTGCATGCTCTTTTCAGATGAAATTGCATTCTCATTGTGTTGTAGAATTATGAAAAAACACTATTCAAAAATGCTTAAAGATTACTATTCTTTAATTACTTATTTACTCTATTTTATCTGGTATTTTATAAAAAGTAGCTTTTATTGAGGATTTAATATCATCATCACCATTTCAGCCATTATCCGTCCACTGCTAGACATAAGTCTCCCCCATAGACTGCCATAAGGAACCTCCTATATCCACTGACTCCCTGCAATGCAATTCAGGTCATCACTCCATCTAGTGGGGGATCGTCCTACACTGTGTTTGCCCGTACGCGACCGCCACTCAAGAATCTTTCTTCCCCATCTGTATTTAATATACTTTATCTTAATAATCCATTAACGATTTCCAATAAGAGAATAACTTAGTCTACTGTTACTTTTCTGACTAAACAGTTGTATGGCGGTATAGAATTATATATATATATATATATATATATATATATATATATATATATATATATATATATATATATATATATATATATATATATATATATATATATATATATATATATATATATATATATATGGTGGCAGAAAGTATTTATTTTTAATGACTTAAATGGCAACAAATAATATATACTACTCCTATATTATTATAGAGTACCATTATTGTTATTTTAAATTCAAAGTATATACTTAGAGAAAGAATTCTGTTTTTAGTTCTTTTTTATTATTAAAAGAATGTAGAATATTCTATAAGAATTGGGAAAATTTAAAACGTCTTGTTTATCTATTTATAATATTATAATAAATACAGGAGGCGTCAAAATAGAGCGGTCGGGGTGTCCCGGAATCTGTGGCCCGCAGGCCGCGACCACATCAACCCTGTCTTTCTCAAGCTTCCGTAATTCATTCACCACCAATGTCAATTACCTGAAACGAAGGTACGTCCTTGTGTTTATATGTATAGAGGTTTTAATTTTTTTTTATGTCTATTATAAAAGCATGCTGAGCTTGATAAGAACATAGTATAGTTCTAAATATATACTTTCATGATTATTGAATAAATTTTAATTAAGATGTTTACAAAATTATTAATATGCCTAATAATTAATATTCATAATAATAAACAGTAAATCTGAAACGATTTACTATTTATAAAGTTCGTAGTGAGTCATAATAAATGTTAAAAATTAAAGTAATGAAGTAATTCCTGGAGAACTAATGATCTACTTGATCTTGTCCCTTAATTTTAGTTGTTAGTAATGGTAATGTTTTAATAAAATATTAAGGCACTACGTTGTAATAAAAATACTTTTTTCATTGGTTTAAAAATGCTGAAAAATTTAAAACACCGTAAAAAGGCCAAAGCCGCTTCACGTCACCGCTTCCACCTCCCGTCCGCACTTGACCCTTCCGTTACTCTGCCTGCCCCGCTGCCCGCCATTTTCACATACCGTGTAGCACCACTCATCAGCTCAAATGTTTATTTATATTCCACGCCGCGCTGATCATATTTGTTCGCTGGCATCAGCTCAGTTCCATCGTCAGTGCATGGCGCTTTGTCCCCTCGATGTTTTGTCGTGATTTGATGTCGCTTATGAAGAGAAGTTACATCGATATTTTTTCTCTAGTGATGAATGCTTTTCAGAAGTATAAAGCATAATTAAATTGCCAGTGCAATATTTGATACAAGGTGCATACTACCTAAGTCCTCGGAGGCGGCAACGCATGAGCGATGTCATGAACGCCGCGGTGTATTCTGTGTAGTTCATGGTATTGTTTATGTCGGTACGGTTCTTTCAACTAGGTAACCGTCAGCTTGTTTGTCACTCCGAGTAGTATAAAATATTTGGCTCATCGGTGAAATTAGATTAGAATGAGTGGCTACATTGTGTGTGTGTGTCGGTTTTGTCCCTCCTGTGCGTGTCCCTGTATCCCGGTGTGGCGTGGCTGTGCGGCGGCGTGCGGCGAGTAGCTCAGTGGAGGCGTTGCGCAGATTCAGCTCGGGGGACCTGCAGTCCGAGTGCGATGAAGGAGAGGTGGACCCCTACACCGGCCGCCCGGCTACTACCAGCCAGCCTAAACCGCAAAATCAAAGGCCGGCCTCCCAGGGTAAGTAAATGTTTCTTAAAAAAAAATACAACTTAGCGCTTTACCCGCGGTAACCTATTTTCTCTCCTGTATCCGTCGCTATTTATAAATATTATTTTTAATGGATGTTTAAACCGCTTTAGAAATCTAACAAATTTCAGTATTATACATTATTTGACTTACAAACTTGAAATTTGGCAGATTTAAAGTTTTTAGTCTTCTTGAATTTCCTAATTAGATGTGGGGTTGTTATGTATTCATTTTACTGAATAGATAAGTAAATTAAACAGATCCATTAATTTTAATACACTAAGGGTGTAAAGAATACCATATACATATTAAAATCTTCGTGCAGACGGATAAAAAGTTATCACGTTAGGTACGAGTAATTTTATGAAATTGAAAATTAATTAACTAAGATAATGTTAAAAGCAATCACAAATTTATTAGTATATTTATTCTCAGCAACTGGAGGGAGCATTGGTAGCGCATCAGGCCCACCCCAACCGGCGGCTGCAACGGCAGCAGGAGGAGATCTTTCTCTAAACTTACGAGGTGGCTCCCGTGGCACCTCCGCTCCATCCTCCCCAGCCAAGTCTCGGGAGTCTTTATTGCAGCGCGTTCAGTCGCTCACTGGGGCGGCCCGTGATCAGGGCGCCAATTTACTAGGTAGTTTTGCTTACAAAAGTTTCATATTATAAAGCCAATATGTCATAGTTTTCTGTGCTATTTCTAAACCTGGTACATTATTTCATTATCTAGAGATAATTCAAATATAATGAGTTCAAATAAAATGAAGAAATGTTGCAGGAGTTGATTACATCATGAGTGACTGATATTGATAAAAAATATAGAATTAAGTAAGTACTCTGGTTGAAAGGTACCATTAGTCCACTTATCTGTATTACTGACTTTTTATAATTTCTGAAAATTATAATATTTATATGTATATATATTGTCGTATAAATTATAATAGTATATTTATTACCTGTTCCAATATGCTAACAGATAACGAATGAGTTGCCATATGTCATTGTGTTCAGTGAAGAAGAAATGTTCTCTAAAGTATTAAATTGTAATGAACTGATGATTCGTATCTCCAAAAAAGCCTTAAGAAATCTTGGTTTTACCATTTAACTACTCGTAGTCTGTTACAATTCTAGCGGCAATATGGTTATTACACCATCCTATCTAAGTCGGATTTGGTGCGTCATATATATAATTCTCTACATATGTTGTGGAACATCTTATAAATAGCTTCATTTAGAATATCGGTACCCTTGCTATATCCCTTAACTTAGATTAAAATAAACTTTGAAATAACACGGAATATGCTAGAGAGAATTTTAATGAGACTGAGACTTTTGAATTGGCTTCATTTGTAGTGATACCGTTCTGCAAGAGTCTTTTATTTAATGCCCATATTATAAGTCCTTAACAAAAGTCATTATTCTCATTTCAGATAGCCGAATATAGATTTTAGACATATATGAACTACCACTTCATAATCACTTATCTACATTCACCTATTTCCCTTTGCCTTAATATTTGTAAAAATATATTTTATTTACCGGATTTGCTTAGACACTATTCTCCTTGCAGAAAATGATCATAATTTTCATTCATTGGTCAATATTTTTACTGACTTGCTATCTAAACTTAAAAATTAAATTTATTCAGGAAGCGTGACATCAGTTGCTTCTGTGGGTCGCGGTTATAATCGTGACCGTTGTGTGACACTGCTGGTGGTAGATGATCAAAACACTGACTGGTCCAAGTACTTCAGAGGCAAGCGCCTACCTGGTGAATGGGATATTCGTGTGGAACAAGCCGAATTTAAAGTACGTTACTTTTACTTTTAAAATAAATTTTAATTGCTTATAGATAGACTAACAAGTTTAAGTGTATAAGTTAGTTATAGGTAGATATCACTTTATAGTATAATAGATTTTTTTTTCACAAATTTGTAATAATAATAATACAATATCTTAGCTATTTACAATGTCATGAATTTCGTGTAGATAGGTATCAAAAATATGTAGGTATCCATAGCCCGCCTGCAGTACAATTAGATACAATCAATGGCAATAATAGTTACAACATGACATTATTGTAGGTAAGATACGGAAACGCGAGTAGAATCAGAAAGAATTTTGTTCTACTTTTACCAACTTCTACATTAGATAGATACCTATACACAAAGCATAAAATATACCAAATAATTGCCAGTGAACAATCATATTATATATCATAAAAACTAACCTTTAAGCTGGTTCGAATTGTTATATCACTGGCATAATATGTCAGTGAATAATCATATATAATAATACAGTCATATTACTAGAAGAAAGTTTTTTAGTAAGGAATTTTGCGACTGAAACTAGGGACTGAGTCTGCGTCTGTCTGAAGTCTGAGTTTTCTATAAATAAATAGCTATTGGAAAAAATTTTAAGTGGCCATTTCTTCACAAAGGGATGATATAATTGCCTGTAATCACGAGTACTTTAATTTCTCAGTATAACAATGCGGACAAAGTTATAATGAAACTTATGAAATTATAATACACGTAAATATTAAAGAATTAAAAATGTGATGTCAGTTTTTATAAAATAAGCCAAAAATTTCTAACTGTAGAATAATACGTTAGTACTAATAAGAAATAAGCAGAGATAATATAATAAGGATAAGTGATACAAATATATGAAGTAGTTTGTTAAGCGATGAGCTAACAATTCTTATACATTTTTTTCTTTGACAGTCTTTATTGAATATGATTTGTTTAATGTATATTTTATTTTCCCTGATTACAATCAGGGAAAATAAAATATAAAAAATGTGCAAATGTGTGCAAAATTAAAGATGTGTATAGAGATACAGAACTTTGTTAATGACCTTCATATGTAGGTATTTCAAAGGGCAAGCAAGTAGTGTCAAAAGATTTAATTATTTGTGCAGGAACACAGTGCGTGAATTAACTATTGAATTAATTATATCTGTACATATATACATACTGGTTGTTGTATATGACCTACAAACTCTGAACAAAGTAATCTAAATTCTAGCAATCTGTTTAACGTGAACTTTATATAAGGAAATACGTGAGACTTGTACATTTGTAAAGATAAATCATTGTTCTAGGTGTTATATTTTAAACTACTATAGAATTCAATTACAGTAATACGGTTTTTGTCACACGGTCTTGCTGCTCACCCCGTAGGTGATTCAGTGTGAAGATTGACAGCTAATAGATAGTCGGATCCTCTGAAATGGAACAAACCTATCAAAAACAAAATAAAATGTGTTCAATATTTTTTATTGTTATGAATAGAGGGTATATACTGTATATCTACGAGTATATTGACGATCATTTAGGTTACCAGTCAAGGCCACATATAAATGTAAAAACGATCACTGAGTCGTCATGCAACTGACCTATATTTATGACTTATGAGTAATTACGTTTCATAATTATAGATATTTTATATTTAATTGTTAAATGATTACCTTCTGCTATCGCATTTTTACGTACCTATTACAAACCTTATAGTAAAAAAAGCAATAAACTACTGATATGCTTTTATTACCAACTAATTAAAATTAACAAAAGTTTAATATTTTATTGTTTCATAATATTTTATATATAAATATTGACATAATTTATTATGTTTATACAAGGTTAGTCGTCATGTATAATACCGAATCGAAATGCAGTGGTAGTAATTAAGTATCCATAAAACTAAAGCATGTGCAAATATTTTTTTTTCAGATTTTCGTAGAAATTTATCTAGATTTAGCCAGTGTGACTATAAAAGGTTGAAAAATAATTTTAGATCTTTACTACGCTCCTTGGGGCAAGAAAGTTGTTTAGTTATATAAATATTATCACTGGGTTTCAACTCGGTACTTACTCCCTGTACATCTAACCCTGTATTTATTTAATAATTTATAGATACTTGGACTTGTGTAATTTATATGTAAGTGTAATAAAACTACTTCTCTCCCAGGAACTATCAGTGACAGCTAATTCGGATGGCGCCAATGTGTCTATGGCTGTGTATCGCAGCGGTACTAAAGTCACCCGCTGTTTTAAGTGAGTATAACTTTCGCATTTAGTTATTTATATATGTATCGTATCAAAATTTTGTCCAAAAAGTTAAATAATTTCCTTAAGACAAATGGTAATGCGTGAAGTCGATCATGAGCGTATCAGTATATGTATTACCTGATGTTGGTACTGCTGTTCATATCTATAGATGATGCTTACCACAATTATCAGTTAGGTTGTCAGCGTTTTACTCTTTCCAAGTCCTATTAAAAGGATAATTTGTATAACCTACCTAATAGTATTTTTTATGATACATAAAATATCAAACAAGCTGAAGGCCCACGTGATAGAAAGTGGTAACCGTCGTCGTAACAGTATACTCGGTCGCTCATGATAATCTTAATGTGTTGCTATTCCCAAAGACTAATTTGTTGTACCTCTGGTACCACCCTCTAAATTGAAACACAGCCATGCAAACACAACTGCTTCATGGCAGAAACATGAATGGGACAAAGGTCGTATACGTAGGTATTTTGGACAATCTTCCTCTGGTAAATTATGTTATCTTATATTTGTAGACCGGATTTCGTACTAGTACGACAAAATGTACGTGACGCGGGTGCTGACCATCGTGCCCTTCTCCTTGGCCTCAAGTTTGGCGGCGTGCCTTCCATCAACAGCCTCAACTCCATCTACCACTTCCAAGTGAGTAATTTTATTTATTATATAAAACAGATGTTACGATAAATATCGTGTTGTTTGTCCAAGCGAGAATAATTTATATTTTGATCATGTGTTTTTCTATTTAGACCAACTTGATTTTACGTCAATATTTTATTTTAAATTCATTTACTATAATAATATAAATATAAGGCAATAAAATAATTATATAAATAGTAATCGATTAATTGGGTCTAGTTAAAATTTTTGTCGCCTCTGATATAAATTCATTTAACGTTGTTCTTTGGTAATAAAGTTTTACTGTGTGGGCAATTCATACCAAGGTTGTAGAGCAATAAAAATAAACAAATTTGTGATCATTGTTTAGATTTTTTTTTATTTTAATGAGGTTACCACTCAAACATAAACCGACACCTGTTTAAAAATGATAAAATTGTTGTAAAGGTGAGTTACTCCAAACTTCACCATCACGGAATAAATAAAAGCTTTGAAACGGAATTTTTCAATTCTTTAGGACAGACCATGGGTGTTTGGCCACCTTCTTCAACTCCAACGCCGTCTTGGAAGAGAGAATTTCCCTCTTATCGAGCAAACCTATTATCATAACCATACGGATATGGTAAGTACTTAGTGATAGCTTACAGTAATAGTTTGCTAATATATTTTCATCAGGCGCCACACTAAATAAAATGATTGCAAGTATAAAATAAATAAACCAATTCATTCGCTTTATAATTTATTTTAACCTAATACGATAATATCACTATTTTTTGTTAATTTACAATTCTTTTCTTAGAAACTAAATAAAGTAAAAATAACGTTAAATATGTTTGTCTCGAAGGACAAAAAACAAAACAACAATAAAGATCATCAAAAATACAATGAAGAATAATTTAAATACAAATTCGTTACATTAAAATTTTGTTTCCATTCACACACTTTTCATGACCACATAATGTGCATAGCACTATGAAAGTGCCTCCATTCATACACAATGTCAAATCAGTGTATTCTAACGCCGCCATTTTCCTTTGAAAGACATTTATCAGGTCCCGCGGCTTTTTTACTGCCTTGCAAAGTAAATTACAGTTTAGTAACTACTATAGTTATTATAGGTAGGTAATGAATTGGTTAGTTGACAATTCAACAATGATGGCTTGTTGTATTATTATTGTTATTCAGACAAAGATATTGATTTATTTTTAGTCCGTGAAAGTACTACGAACCGAATTATAATATTTAGTCCTTTCAACACCTATACTCGTATATTTATGTCACAATTTTTGATACTTTGCCAATCTGTAAAAAAGAACTACTATATTTAGGTTGTTATGTATTGATAACTTTCTTATTAGAATTATCTAGACATTTTATATCGACAATAAATATTATTAATTAACAGTATACCATCAGTATTACAATTATTAAAAAAAAAAACTTTGTAGAAGTTTATAGATTCCAAATATTCCGCCTTAATGATAACAAAGTATATGCTGACCAAAAATAACGTAGTTACGGACTGTCATCTTAAATATCTTACTTTTGGTTCGATTGCTTGATACAAAAATAGTAAACGAACCCATCATTCTGTGTGGTATCTAGATATACAAATGTAGGCAAATTTTTATATTTTTAGTTAGTCGATTCGGTTTCCTTTTAATCAAGTCATGGTATCATCATAGTGGTATTGAAGTAATGTGCCTGCGTGCATCTCGTGAGAGCTGGAGCTCTGTAACATAAAACATCGTGCATTTTGATAAAGTGTCAGAAAAGGGAGACATCAAAAAGTTTATGTTTACGGTTGTGCTTCGCTTTACATCGCTTTCCAGTGACAATAACGGCGTGGGTTAACTCGTTTAGGCCTATTCGCTCTGTTTTATTGTCATTTGAAGTCCGAGTTTGAAATATGAGTATTAAACTATGTGTCATTTTACCACAACTTCTGGGTGTCATATATATCTCAAATACTAATAAGATTTGTTAGTTTAGAGTAACTAATAAAATACAATGTTAAGCGCCATGCCGATTATATTCACGAACTGTTTGTTGCCTCCGATTACAAATGAGGAGAAGGATGAGGTATGTCTAATTTAATGTTACGATTTGGAGCCTTCATTGATTGAATGACATTTCCATTATCATCATTCGATTATTTTATGATTTCCTTATTATTATTATTGGATTATTTGAGAAAATAACAACGATTGTTTGATAAAACTTTTAACTAGGGTAGTTAGTTATTTTATTTTTTTAAAGAAAATATCACACTATGCTTATGAAGTTGCATAGTCTCAGTAATAAAAAAATTAAACCAATGGCGAAGTATCGATACATCGATTTTCTTGAGAAAGCATAAAAAGAATAATTTTGTATTTAAAAATATCACAAATAATAATAATATAATCACGGTATCTTTTGTTTTGGTGAGGTTTATCAGATAATTTACTTTAAAAAGCAATCTAACTTTGAATGGCAAACAAGCTAAAGGCTCCTCTATGAAATATTTATAAACATGAACATTACTATGCATATCAAAAAATAGATTTTCTGTAGTGCACATGGTAACTCATGCATTTCCTTTCCTGAGGACTGAGGTATTATATTATATCGCTTCTTGTAATGTTATTCCTATATCCCATACCTCAAATAAATTTAACAAGGCATTAATTAATTGATTACATTTGATTTTGGAATTTTAGATATAAGAAATTATGTTTATATTTAAAATATTGTAAGGTTACCTTGTCCAACGGCAGCGTCCATCACGGTCATGTAGACAAATACCATGTCGCTCGTAACAATCGTCGTAGTTCGCCACGCAAGCGTTCGGCGATTTTGTGCGTCGTCGCATCATGTGCACCTGGGGGTACCATTATTATATAATAAATATATATTTTTTATTATTAAATTAACTTTATTACTTTATGCTATAATACATGATAATATAGATATAGACGACGCAAGCACTAATCTCAATCTATACAATAACTGCTTTCCGTATACTCTAATGTCACGAAAGCTATTTACTGATATAATAACACAGTTTTTCGCACCAAACTATTTTGAAAAATATCATCTGCATAGCTGTTTTAGTCAAAACTTAGATAATCGTTCTACAAGTCAAATTCGAAATTTAGTTAGCATTCAAATAGCCTCTTTTTTAACAAACCTATTTATTTTAGGGCTAAAAATTAACATGCAAAGTAAATTTTCAAGCTATATTCATTTAAACTATATATATTTGTGAAGTGTACAGTTAGATCAGATACGCTTTAAACTTACAATATTCCCACAAATATTATCCTTACCAAGGTTTCTAGCTTCCTCCACAATATTTTAAAATTATACTTGATCTTCTATCAACTACCTATGTTATTATACCTATGATTATTTCTTGTAATTGTTTATATTTATAATAAGTTTACTATTGTAATCTTTTGGTAGAAACAAGACTATCTATCTACCTATCTATTCAATTTTATTGAACATTGATAATAAACAAGCTTGCAGTTTTTCCGATTGTGAGGTTTAATCGTTCTCTATGCATAACAGCACTACAAACATCGTAAATTACACTGTAACCAATATGCGCCATCCCACATGCATTTCAATCATGGGAATTATAGTTATCTATGTTATGTTTCAGTTTCTGAACTTTAATCCAAGCAAAACAATACAAGTGTGCTTTGTGTGTTATTATGTAAACAAAATTAATGATATTGCTCTCAATTTTGATGATGGTAATTCATATATTTAAAATCGTATAACATGCTCACGACTAATCATTCTAGAGGAATTAGATATTTGTTGACAACGGTTATACATTACCATGATTAAGACACACGAGTATAAGGTTAAAATAGTATTCTCAGGCAACCTATCTCTTTTAGAACTAGCATTTGTGTCATTTTATATAATGAGTATTCAAGTTTTGTGTGGAATAATCAGATATAGATTTATTTATCATAATAATAGAGAATCGATACTGTTATATATAATCTACCTAGTTACTTACTTTGCATGTGCAGCCTCGTTTATATAGGAGTCTGAATCCTTTCCGTTGCCGAGGCGTTACGTCGCGCCATTTTCTCGTATACCCACAGAGGTTGATATGAGCTTGTAAATGTCGTACATTGCCTGTAAAACATACAATTTACAATCGTCAGCTGCTCAAACAACTTGTAATTAGTTTCTAGGTGCTTGACCAGTTAATCTGTACTATATGCTGATATAAGTAGAAGGGCCATATTAAATCGTCATGGCGCCTTATAAAGGCCATACCTATTAGTATCTTCTTATATGACAAAGTTATGTTAATAAATATGCCGATAAAGACGATTCTTAATTAGATAATTTTAAATATAGAATTTAGGTTAATCATTTATAAATTGTATATAATTGTATGATAAACTAAGTATATTTTAATTAAATAAAACAACTAGTCATGAAAAAAATTCTACAAGTAAAATCGAGGCACTTTTACATTTAGATTTCCTATTTTGACAGACAAATGTTTTATTATTAATTATTCCTTTTTATAATTACGTAATACAAGAATAAAAAGAGTCGCGCATTTATAAAAATATATAGTAAATACTATTATTTATTTGGTTATTATTTAATTCATTTGTCGTAATTGTTTATTAAACTCATCAATAATATAAAAACGGCTACTTGTCAACATTGGAAGTAATCTAATGCAACCATCTAGTCGTATTGAAACTTTGATACTCAATTTAGAACTCAGCCAATAGTAGTAGCAAACTTGATTCCGTCCATACTGAATTAATTAAAAGTTGACTCGCAAGTTACAAAGTGAGTAAACTGTGATGCTTACCTGTGATGACATAAGTTTCTCTGGGCTGGAGATGGACACCACACATAGACTCTTGAGATGCTGTAAATAAGCGGCCAGATCTAAGTACAACGACTGCTTTTGATGTTGCCTGTCAATAAATGAATGATGTTATTAATACTTGTAATATTAATATAGAGTTACATATTAGTAAAATAAAGGTAAAAATGAAATATTAGTGTTGTCTTTCAAGTACTTTTTTACATTTAATAGTCTATTTGAAAAATATGTGGTATGTCTTGCCCACAATTTAGCGAACAATAAAAATCTAACGCAAAAACACACTTCTGAGTCCTTTATACTAATTATATATTTTTTACAGTGTATATTAACACTGAAACGTTAGTTTAAATTTCAATTTTCATAAGAAAATTAGCAAAATCAAACTAACGACAGTTAAATAATTTGAGCTGATCAATGTATCACTATACCAGGCCATGCCAATCTAGAGTGCATTTTTTTTTATTAATTATTCTTTTAATTATGCTATTCACAATACATATTTAAGTATACTTACTTTAAATATATTGCGAATTTTCACTTTATATACGTCGTAGAAGTCGGCGCCTCTGAAAGTTTTTTGTACTCTACCTACTATAACTGAAAAAACAAAGGATACATTATTAAGATTTTAGTATTAAGTAAAATTAAAATAAAAAAATATATCATCGTATCTTAATATAGAACTTTCAGTAGTTGTAACGTGACGATACACATTCAGGATAATTTTTTTTTTCAACTTAGAATGGCAAACAAGCTGACGGCCCACCTGATGGAAAGTGGTAACCGTCGCCTATAGACATGAGCAGTGCCATAGACATAACAGAGTATACTGTTTCGCCCATGATACCCCCCAGGATAAATCCTAATACAAGAGGGAATTATTTATTTATATGCTTTTGTACAGGCAATTATAATATAAACATTAGGTTTCTTGGGGATTAATATGGGATAGGAGCATAACTTCCATACAGAATTCTAAATCTAGGGAGATTTTAATTTATTATTGTTATTTTTTTTCAAGATTATTTTTTAGATATGTGTGATATTAATCGAATTATGGGAAGAATGTCCAACATCTAAATATCAGGAGTTATTTTAAATTTATGTTTACAATTTTATTTAAATTTAATTATACACAGCATATTGAACTGTGATGATTTTTGTTAAGAGATGATCAATAATACCTGCTGTATACTTAATTTAGTAATATACTCTAAATGATCTACTCATAAAGCCCCAGTTATGAGTAATTTTAAAAGAAGGAGATATGGACAGTATAATACAAGCGTATTTTCCTGTATATTTTTATTTTAAAGCGATACTTTCATCCTTTGTAACCGATAAGGCTTTCTTCCGTATCGGTTTCATTTTAATTATTAATTTTTAATTATACATGATGCGTATCTTATTTATGTGCACGAGTATAATAATATGCTCATAATAGCAGTTTAGTACTACTTAATATTTAATATTTAAGAGGTATTGAATAGTTAATTAAGTGTATATACGTACTAGCCTAATAGGCTAATAAGTTTGTACAAAGGAAAAGGCAAAATTAAAACGCATAACATACCAAAATCACTGGAGCAGAAATGTGTCTGTGGATGGTCTGGTGCACATGTGCAGGCTTCTGTGAGCCGCCAGCTTACCGCCATCAGCGCGAGCGGTAACCACCTCGTCAGCATGCTGTCTACCATATTCTGTAAGGATAAAATATTAATTGTAAGTTATTTGTTATTTTTTTTTATAAATATTATAGGGAATTATTCATTTGAGGGATTTTTGTATTTAAAGGTACATGGCTGTATGCTTTGGAGGCGGCATAATATCTTTGTTCCTGGAAATGATGACACACACGATTTCTATGGATATCATGTTTCTACTCTTATTCCGATTATATAATATTAATTTTTAATGTCGTGGTAATATGTTTTTATCTTTTATACCTAGAGTTTTGGCTTTTAATTTTTTAACCGGCCGTTTGCCTAAAGTCAACCCTCCTTGGGAGTACATTTGCTAGTGATATCTGCCACTTACAGTATAGATATATATTTTATAGTAAATTTTTTCATGCATATGGTACTGTTCATAAATATGTAATTATATGCAACAATTACCACTTTTCATCAGATTGTCAACATTTATTGCCATTCCAGGATACATTTTTATAGATATAGCCGTATAACACTATTTTATAACAGCTTTATTTAATATAAATCCATCAATACCTAATTAATTAGATAATATGTATATTATAAAGGTTATTTTAAATATTATCTCATTTATGGATCATTGTCATTGTAATAAACAACAAAACATAAAAATTAACGTCTTTTGTTAGGTATTAATGATACCATTATAATATCGAAGATTTTTAATAAATGTCGTTATTATTTACATATATACGATGTCTATGTATAGATTAGATAGTAAGATTTGAGTATTTCTAATATTACAGATTAGTATTATCCATAGAGAATGCACCGACAATTATAATTACAACAGGATGACGAATGACCTGGATTTATTAATGACTCTATTATGATGCGGTATTGCCTCTAGCATACAAACATTACCTCGAGCATACTGCTCGGAATGCATCAGAGCTATTATGATAACTATTGTCTTATTTGCTGAGTTGAAAATATTGCAAGCTTTATAGAATTGATGTTCGCACAATTGTTTGTGTATGTCGTAACATTAACTCACTCGAAATTCCAAGGAATTTCGTGCCAGTGGCGTTGCTATGGATACGAGTATGTATTCTTGTAAATTGAAAAAACGAAAGTCATAATGAATATAATTGAAGGTTTCATTTGATAATTTTGTGTGATAAGGTCTGAATTTTGTAACAAAAAGCTCTTTCTGTTGTTCTGTGTACTAATTTCCTATATATGTTTTATACTTATTATTTAATAGCAATCTACAAATAAATAAAGACAGATTTTTGTTTAACTTTTCCGTAATAGAAGCTAAACTGCTAACTTACATGTCAACGCACAAGCAAAACTACAGTAGTTATGAGTTCAAAATGCATTTACTTTTGTCTATAACTTTGAAGGTGTTCGGTATTTTTTTTTTATATTTCCCCGTAGTCATCTACGGGAATTTATAAAGAAATTACTGACAGAGAGATGAAGCTGAGAGAAATGGCTAGTCCCTAATAAATCTTTATTAACAGTAAAGCTTTATGAATGGAATTAAAAAAAATTAATAGTTATCATGATAATAACCTATGTTGATTTTATTAAAAGAAAGTGTTGATCGATCTCATCAGGAAACATTTTAATCAACTATCAAATTGCTACATGAGGGTTCACACTTTAAATTAATTAAGTTTGACAGCAAACCCATCAATTTCTATCATGTGTTGGGAAGCGGAAGCATGTTACGAATAATTTATTAGCTTAACTACCTTAAGTTGACCGAACTCGGTTGACGTTCTTTCTCAAGAAAATTTTGTAGGTATATATATATATTGTTTTTATGATAATTGTGTACTATGTTTTCATTTATAATAATAATTTGGTAGATACGTATATTATTTTTAACAAAATGCATTATTACTGCATATAATTAGGTACGTATGTACCCACTATAACAGGTATATATTTTGCTTGGCGAACAAAATAATCTTTTGCACTCACTATAGGGGGAAATGAGTATAACACAAGAAAAAAAATGTTTGACATCCACATGCATGTAAATTTAAATGGTAAAATGTATTATAATAATACTTTAGATAATATTATACAGGTGAAAATTTGAATAAATGTTTAATTATTTGTTACTAAAGAAAAATGAAATATATTTAATACATACTTTTAGTATTAAAAATACCTAAGCATTTCAAATAAGTATTTAAGTAATAATTATTATAATCATAATAATTAATCTCTAAATAATAGTGCAAATTTAGTAATAATAAAGTAGATACTTATATTTTATGTGTTCATATGTATGATTATAAAACTGTTGTCCCAAAATAAATAAACATCCTTGTTTATTACGTAATAGTTAAAAGCGCGTAATATGATGTGTTGATAAAACAAATTATACTTTATATGATTTTTATATGACTAATGATGATATATATTTAAATAAATGTTATAAAAATAAGTTCATTTTTCTCGCTAATACACATATCAATGTCTATACGAAGAATTTTTTAATAAAAAAATCTATTGCACACAATAGGCCAGTGTCTCAAACCGCATTTCGTTGGTAAAGGCCCCATCATGTAAACAGATTTTAAAGCGGTGTTCTTTTGTAAGTGTTGATGTTAATCCGGTTTGGTCTTATTATCTCACGTACGCTTAATAATGCTTTGCTCGTTCACTGCCAGGGTATTAGACGAAAACAAAACACACCACTTAGTCTGTGGGGCCATGCAGTGAGTGGCCGTCTTTCAAATATCCGTCCATTGAAGGTTCCATAAAAGCCTTGTTCAGGAATTTTAACTGCCAGTCGTAGTGAACTTTAGACCTTGTCAGAGTATTTTGTATAGTCTCTTCCTTTTTTTTATCGCTACCTTCCCACAATTTTATGTATTCCGTAATATGTCTTTTTTATAGATGTGCATAAAACTTACTTATGTGTTTAGCTATCAAGACTAAATATTTTATTCTCGAAAACCAATCACAGGCGATTAATGTCTATTTTTATCTTAAACAATGTAAGAAATAGTAACAATTCTCTTAGGTATATTTATTATAATAATTTAATTAATGTAAATAAAATTTTGTTTTGTTCAGAATATTATATGCAATTAAATACATTAACAGTATATGTTAAACAGAGCAATGAAGTATATAAAGTTGTATCGGCATGATATCAATGTGAATATATGTACAAAACATTGATGTGATGTCGATGTGGCTCGTTCGCCATATGTGGACCGTAACGTCTACTGCATCAATACGAAAAGCATCCAATTTACCAAAACAAGATAGACCGATAACGTTGACGATCGGTTTAAAGCAATTCTATACAAAAAGAGGGACAATTACACACAAAGACTTACTTGTTGTCGTCCCCCTTTTCAGGTACCTAATTGGATTGTAGGTATGCATTTTAATTTTAGTAACCGAGTTTCATTGTGATGAAGTTAGTCATTCATTACAAACAAACAAACTTGTTTTGTGAAGTAGATTAAATAACAAATTTAGTGTAGCATGTAGTCTATTTATAGAAACAGTGCTATATGCAACGTATACCTATATTAATACTTATAATTAAATTAGTGTATGGTTAGTATAACTAAATATTAATTATGTAAAACATACATAAACATTTAAATTAGGGGGGAAAGGGATTATTAGTAATGGAGACTGAGAATCCCACTGCTAGCAATATACCCAATTAGGTCGACCTCCTCGCAGTTCTCCCTAGAAACTATCATGGTTAATTCCTGATGAATTCATCATGATGGGCTAACTGATCTGTTTTCATTCTCATCTATCACCCTTCACTGGTGATAGATGAGAATGAAAACAGGCCAGCGTATCCCGTTAGCGCAGGCGGGGTTATTATACCATTTTCACCCATAAAAAAAAACATTTAAATTTTTTTTTTTTTTTATAAAACTTAGAATGGCAAACAAGCTGACGGCCCACCTGATGGAAAGTGGTAACCGTCGCCTATAGACATGAGCAGTACCATGGACATAACAGAGTATACTGTTTCGCCCATGATACCCCCCATGCGTTGCCATTCTGAGGACTCAGGTGTTATTCCTCTGTACCCAGTAAATTCACGCCATATCCCACCCTTCAAACCGAAACACAGCCATGCAAACACAACTGCTTCACGGTTGAAACACGAATGGGACAGAGGTACCCAAGCAATCGACTTTTGTACAAAGTCTCCCTCTGGTGAAATTTATCTATTGGTAAAACATTTGAATTTATTTACGTATATACGAGTGTATCAAATTCATAGCCTTACAGTCAAATATTTAATAATATCTACTGTAAGGCTCATTTATTTGATACACTTAAAAAAAAAGATTATACTAATTTACTTACTTTTGTATAAATCGAGGTTATGACAAGTTACTAAAAAGGATAAAACCAACAATTAATTTTTATTTCTTTATAAAATTGTCGTAAAGACATACTAATAAACTGTTTTTATTGTTGACATTATTCCGAAACAGTTAGTCGAAGTAAGTATACGAGTAAAACAAAAGAAGAGCTTGCATACTTTTAAGACAAGGTAAAACTTTTACCAAGAATCTTATTCTACTAAATTATAAATGTAAAAGTTTATAGAGATGTTTGGATATTCAGATTTGTTACTTAATCACATTTAAATGGCTCAATAGATTCAAATAAAACTATATGTGTATATTTGTTATACATGTATATAATTTTATAATTATTGAATTAATAAAATATTTTTGGAAAGTCGGATTACTAACACGAAGGCTAAATGTTCCGCTTGAAATCGTAACGCGCATTCGACTAAGTACCAATTCCTGCATGCACCGCAGCTTTTTTACGGTTAAAGCACAATAATATGGCAGTAAACAATTCAGTCTTATTATGTGTTTTTGGATAAAAATCACAATGCGGAAATTTTATGGGTGCATTCCCATAGACGCGCCTGCAGTTTCGGAACGTCGCGTCGTGTTGCAATACAACAATAAGTCGTTCGTCAGGGTTCGACGAGAAAGCTGAGGTGCATGTTGACATTGTAC